ATGTGAGTGCTTTCTCAACAAAAGTAGAACAAAATTCAACATAACAAAGGGGCTTCTAGTCTGACTAAATTCGTTTGCACCTGTACTTGATATCAATAAATCAAGGGCAGAAAACACCAACAAAATGAACTGAAAATCAAACCTACACATAGCTTATTATTGCCCGCTAAAATCTAATTTATGAGAAAGGTCATATTAATGAATGAACTTACCGGAGGTGGTGGTGGAGCCAAAGCTGTCGGTGTCTCGCCAATATCCTTACGTTATATCCTCGCCGTCGCACTCCATATCAAAAAATACCTAGAAAAGCGTTATAGCTCGAGTAAAATTGAATTGTAGAAGGAATAAGGAAGCTTACCTATACTAATGGTAGTAACAGCTTATCTGAGAGTGAATACGCGGCTTTCATAGTAAAGCGATGAAACGATGACATCTTTGCAAAATAAACGCAAAACTTCGAAACTTCAAAATGAACTTCGTTTTGGCTTCCTAGAACGAAAATATAAATTGTCAGATATTACAACGAAAATTCACACACCAAATAGACTGCCAATTCGCTCCGTAATGCACTGCATCAATCAAACAGCAACATTATCACTTTCTTCATACCTGATTTTACAGCCAAGAAGTTCTGAAAGCAGAGATATGAAAACCTACAGGAATCTGCCCATACTTTCGAGCTGCACATCGAAACCAAGCGATGCTAGTTAAGAAAAGGATAAACGGTTCAAAAGCGGTTCTTTTTCACGGGATAGCGTCCTGCGTGCAATGAGTTGTTAGATGTGCAAATGCACGCGATCGCCCAAACTATGGTCATGCATTTTCGATCGGCGACTTGATCGCCCAATCCAAGCGATCAAGTCGCGACGATTAAGTCGCGTGAAGTCTGACCGTGGCCTTAAACTGTTGCAAACGGGATTGGTCAAATGTTCAAAAGCTATCCATGAGCTGTATATGTCAAAATCAGGCCATTGAAAATGCAAGCATACCTTGCCCTAGATAGGCTTCAGGGTCATGGGAGAACGCCATCCGCGCCATAGGTGCTCCACGAGAAGAAAGCACAAAACTGTAACCGATCAGCTGAGATACATAGATTGCTGGCAGCATATGATAAACCATTGAAGGGAGAGTCTAACAATCTGCAGGATGAGAGAGGAGCGAAAGGAATTGGACAGGTTGAGATAGTTACATCAATGTAGAATGAGTTCATAGAGCTTTTTCAACCGTTTAGCTATCATTGTCTCACCGGTGTAAGTTGAGCGAAGCATCTGCAGACATCCGAACGCGTTGATGACTTGTCAAACTGTCTACTGCAAAACATGTTTTTTTTGTACTCTTAAGAGCAACGTCTCCTCAAAATGATGGGTATCGGGTTACATAGTGTATCAGTGATTGGCCCTCTATATAGCCTTTTTTGTGAAGTCTGGAGCGAAAAAGCGCTTCTGGAAAGCCCAAAATTCGCTTCGGAAGTTTTCTAGACCCCGCCCACTTGTCACATGCATTTGGAGCAAACGCGGACATGGAGAGCTTCGAAAAAAGCTCAATTTTTCCCAATTTTGAGCGCAGAAAAGCTCAGATATGGCTTCGGAATGTCGAGAAGGCTCCGAGGAGGCGAAGAACCGAGGAGCGAAATTTTGCCTACTGCCATGTATATATGCTGTTGTCGTACGTAGCAAAGTTGGTAGCGAGAGATTGCAAAGAACAATGCCTTGCATCAAGGGGTTAACAAATCTACCAAACGTGTTCATATGTCTGCAAATGCTCCGCTCAACGTACACCAGGGAGGCGACGATAGCACATCATTATCTATGCGAACTCGCAGAGATAAAATGTTCAAAACTGCAAAATACACCGCAAACAATATAAGCAAGCCCGAAGTTTTTCTAAAGAAGCCTTCTTCCAAAGAATTCGAAGACAATAACGATTTTTTGATTCAAAGTATAGTGCTTGATAAACTCAGTCAGTATTGCTCATACTCACCAAAACCGAGTCCCTTTACTTTTTTCGACTTCGAAGAGGAAAGGGGACTTTGGGTCAAAAATCTCAAGCTCAAGGGCCAAGTGAGTAAAAGGTAGTCGAAAAGGTATGTCAATATTTTCTGTGGTGTTACAAGTCTTTACTTTAGAAAAATGCGGACATTTTGCTTAGCAAATGTAGAGTTCCAATTAGGGCATGAGAAACCAGCCTTTGTGTTTGATTATTTTTCTTATTAGCTAATAAATACGGTACTTTGCTTATAGATAAACGAAGAATCCAAGAACTTGGGAACGACGGGAAATGCTGACCACAAAAGAAGTGAAGACCGTAACGAAAAGAGACTTCGAACCGAGCGTATAATTATTTTTTGTAACCGCAGCGAAGTATTTATTATAAACTGCAAAGGCATTATTTGTGAATGGCAAATTACCCTGATATTTTACAGATAAGTCCGCTTTTTTGATAAGAAATATCGAGGAAAATGCACCCTCGCACCGCCAAAAATCTTGCAGATAAATCCTCCCATCAGACAAGTCCGTCTAAATGTAAGTCCGAGCTCAGCTGACAGTCTTCGGACTTATCTGACAAGATTTCAAGGTAGTTGTAATGTGAAGAAAACGAACTTTTCTGTAGGGCAGACTTATCTGTAGGGTCTTATCTAATTCAAAAAGGCGGACTCCTCTGTAGACGGACTTATCTGTGAGATTTTAGGGTCTGAGATATCAGGTAGTTCATCTCACTATTAAAAAAGAAAGGTTATTCAAATCTCAACCTAATAATAACATTTTCGAGACCTGGGAGTGCGAATTATATTTTTGGGATGTACAGCACATTCGATGAAGGAAACAGGGTGAATGCGAATAAGGACAACGATTTCGAAGGAAGTAAGAGATCACGACTTCTATGCGTCATTTTTTGAATGTTTTGATTTCCGTAGACGCACTTGAGATGACGTTACTCGTGTTTGTACTGAAAGATCAGTGACGGCCGCTGTTTACCGCTTGCATCTGTTTAACTCCATCCTTAAAGTTGGTTCCCAGTGTGAAAGTGGTCCCAACTCTGAAAACAGATTCAAAACTTTGATACACTCCTAAGAGCTCCTAAAAGCAACAACATCTTCTCAGAACACTGCAAACATTTGCACTGCTTTCAAAGTGATGTGACATGATACTATACAGTAAATTGAAAGATGTCAAATTTTTTTTTGGTTAGTTAAAGGGAGTGTCCGGGCAGAAACTCGATTTTGAGATTTTGTACTTACTTGGGCCTATTCGCTACGCTGAATCCGAAAATGCACATTGTAGAGCGCGAATGGGCGAAAAACGGTTCTAACACAGGAGGAAAATGAGCAGGTGGGCGGGGTCCTCCCCATCGCAAATTCACGTTTCCGGCTTCCGGAGCGACCTTCTCGCTTCCGGTTTCAAGTTAATCATTCGCACTTGACCGATAGCGATGTTAGGACGGCTAGCAGAATCGAGAAAATCGCTCCGGGAGCTGGGAGCGTGTAATCGCACTGGGAAAGCCCCGCCCACCTGCTGATTTTCCTCCTGTGTTAGAGCCGTTTTTCGCCGTTTTCGCGCTCTACAATGTGCATTTTCGGATTCAGCGTAGCGAATAGGCCCAAGTAAGCACAAAATCTCAAAATCGAGTTTTTGCCCGGACACTGCCTTTAAAATTGGATAATTTCAAATGGACGTTTAAGAAACTACCTTCAAACCACACGTGAGCATTTTGTAAGAGACGAAACAAAGTCTCAGAAATTCAAATATTTATGAATATAATGTTTTATAAATATAATGTTTATTCAAAGCACAAATTTCTTACACAACCTAACAAAAAGATATTTCTGTTAAAAATGTGGGATTTTGAATAAAGTGCGGTTCATAATTATACGAACACCCCAAATTTTGAAAGTTTTTGGATTTTTGGAAGAAACTCAAAAAGCCGTTGGTACCACGCGATAGAGCACAGCCGGAAACGGTTACGATCCACAAGAATGGAAATCGATGTCAATCTGAAGTGTTTTTGCGCCTAATGCGAATTTTTAGCGGTTCATAATTATACGAATACCTCAAACAAAGGTCCATTTTTCATTCAAGATTGCAATCTTTCGGGTCCAAATTTTTTGTAGAGTTACAGTAACAAAATCTGACATATCTGCTACACACTGAACCCAGTGCAGCTCAAAAAGAGGATCGTTACTTTTTTTAGATGGCTCTAAATTCTTTTGGAGTGATTGCGCTCAAAGAACATACGTTTTTCTGTGGTTTACGCACTCTAATTAGCTTGTACCAAGGCTATGAGATAAAATAAGCTCTTTCGATAGATATTTTGTCTGACGCTTAGAAAATCTATGCGTTTTCGTGCCGTTTTTCAACCAAGTTCCAACCTTACCCTAGAGTCAGCACGATTACGAGCCTCAAAACTCAGCTTAGCAAGCCTTGCAATAAAGCAAGCAGTACTCTGCGTTGATACCACTGCT